AAGCCTGATGTGATACATCACATCAAAATGAAATAAAATCCTTGGATTCAAGCAAGCAAGTGATAAATGTATAGCTTTAGAGATTGACTTCTGCACAGCCTAATTTTTCATCTATAAAATGGAGCAATACAGGCTTATCTTGAAAGCAGTACAGGTAACAGGGACTGCCCATTGTAGCCCAAAGTCTTGATGGTTATAAATTAGATCACCCACATCACTGACCCAATTTTAATGGCCTTTTTTGTGTTGCATTTGTTAAACATTAAGTGAAAGCCACACCCATTAAGAAAGACAATGGTTCGCTGTGGGCAGGTTTTGCCCCAGAATGGAAGTAAGTGCCAGTTTTTGGCTAAATATTCATAAAATGTGGTCACATGATGGAGGGATGCTACAAACAGCTGTAAGTTTTAATTATAATTTTATTATTGTAAGCCACCTAGAATAGTCCCACAGTGAAAAAGAGGCAAATAAATTTAATTAATTAATGCAAGCTATGCCGCACACACAAAGTGTGGTCATGTGTCTGTCGAGGGGGATCCGGCTGCCAGAACTAGGTCATAAAATACTCGCAGAGAGTTTCATCGTAACTTTGAATTGTCACTAAGTGACCAGTCATAAGTTGAGAACTACCTATATATCTTAAAAGAATACTTTGTTCTCAGTTGTGATTGTCTTTTGCTAAACTGAGTTTAAGCAGTGTAATAAAAATATACACAACAGTGAAGTTCTTTGGTTCCTTTCTTACTGTTTAACCTCCTTTTTCTCCCTGTTTTCACATAAATGTTCCTTGAAAATTTTCAGACATTCTGAAGAAAATACTGGACAGAGGCACTTCCAAATTTGAGAACCTGTGGTCTTTAATTGCTCTCTCAAACGTTTGATTCTGAATTTCCTATAAGGCAATAAATGCAATTGTGACTAAGAGTTGCGTTTTCACTGAAGAATTTTTGCAAGAAGTTACTGATTCAATGTAAAAGGCTGGCTATGACACTAGGACGCTCAGTGGCTAAGACAGTTTGGCGGTTCAAATCCTTAGCACGGCCTAATGGAGTGAGCTCCCGTTAATTGTCCCAGCCAATCTAGCAGTTTAAAAGCATGTAAAAAATGCAAGTAGAAAAATAGGGACCACCTTAGTTGGGAAGATAACAGCGTTCCGTGCGCCTTTGGTGTTTAGTCATGCCAGCCACATGACCAAGGAGATATCTTCAGACAGCGCTGTCTCTTCGGCTTTGAAACGAAGATGAGTCGGGAAGGACTAGCACATATGTGCAAGGGGAATCTTTACCTTTACTGATTCAACTTGTTTGGATTGGGAAAAAAAAGGGAAAGGAAAGCTAATTTCAAAACCACCATCTCCCAGACAGTCTGCTCTGCCCCATTAAGCAGAAGTGGGGAAGGATGGCCCTTTTATGACTTGTGGACTTCAACTCCCAGAATACCTGAGCCTGTCACACCTGCATTAGAGCATTTATGGGTCATCTTTTGGAGATCCTGCTACCGATATGTTTAATCTCAGCAATTAATTTGGCTTTTTTCCCACTGCTACATAAATTGTTTCTTAATATACTTCTCAAAGTTATTTATTTTTTCAGGTTTTCTAACACAATTGTTTTAGCATTTGTTTTTATTGATTATACTTTAATCAAACTTTTAAAAAGTTTTTGTTCTACCTTGTAACCCATCTAAGAACTGTTCAAAACAAGCCTAGCTTAAACAATGCATGTGTATATAGGCAGGTGAGCATATGAACTGAAATGTATATTCTGGGTGAAGAAACAAAACTGTTTAATTCTGCCAATTGGATATAATGATTGTGATCAAGAACCACTGGCTAAACTGAGGAGAAACCACTTTAAAAGCCACATGCCTTGGAGAACATTTCCCCTTCAGTTTATAGACATCTACAGAAAGAAAACGTTTGCTGTAAAATAAATGAATAAAAGGATTTGTGAATGAATCCAAAATTGTTGTCGCAGAATTCTTGCTGTGTCTAAGATGGACCGTGATGTTGATGGAAAGAAGAACGGGTGTGCCCATAAATATAATTTGTTACAAAAACTACGGTTTCAGTCTGAGGGCCAGCATTAGGCATCCAGGAGATTGTGAATTCTAATCCTGCCTTTGAGGCACGAAGCCAGCTGGGTCACCTTGGGCCAGTCCTAGGAAGAAGGCAAGTTGCAAACCGTTTCCAAAAACTTTGGCCAAGAAAACTGTGTGGGGCTAATCTGGGCAGAGATCAAAATGGACTGGAAGGAAGCATGCAAAATACAAAGAATAATTTTTAAAAAGGATCTGTTATTGACTTGGAGAATCTTGTTTCGGGATCACTTCTGTTTCAGGCTGCAGCTATGCTTTCACAAGGAGATGAAACAAAGGGTTCAAGTAATTTCAGCATTGAGTTTGTTGGAATTTGCTCTGTGCCCTAAATGCCTTTGATTGGGAATTGAAATTTCTGTGCCCTAAATGCCTTTGCTCTGTGCCCTAAATGCCTTTGATTGGGAATTGAAATTTCAAATGAGAAAGCCCATTAGTTAAGGCTTGATGGGGGGAAAGTATTTTGTAGCTAAAATATTCTATTGATACAAGGCCTTAGCTTTGTGTTAAACTGTAGGTTCCCTGTTGATCTCCAAGCTTGGTTGTTTTCCTGCAGATGTTTCATTACCCTACTAGGTAATAGCATCAATGTCTTATATGTCAGTTTAGCACTGGAGAGCACAGCTACACACACACTCTGAAATAATACCCACAAAACCTTTTCCTTGAAGTAGAAAATTCTCACCACTTGGAAGAAGCTGGACTTACATATTAATTCTACTTTGTAAGATTCCCCCCCCCCCCCACTTTTAAGTGAAAATCATTCTAGAATGTGTTATTTTAATGTAGTTTAGGCTTGTTTTCAGGAATGTGATAGAGCTATGTAGTTGTTTTTTTCCCAATTTATATTTTTTTAACTGTATCCCAGAAGTACATTGGATCAAAAATACGATCCTGAGAATTAATATAAATCTTTGCTCTATTTAAGATTTGATACAATAATTTTGATCACGGAATGTTCCCTTGTAGTTATTCTCTCTGTCCCAATTGTGTAATGGAAATATTTGTAATTTATTTCATCAATTTGTTGAAAGGATTACCAAAGCCAGGAAATATAGTTCCTCTTCTTTTAAGAATAAATAAACAACATAGCATGTTTAAAATAGGACGAATATAGGCAGTCCTTATTTAGCATCTGCCTCATTTAGTTACCATTCACAATTGCAATGCTGCTGAAAAAAATAACTTTGCGACAAGTATTCACATGTAGGACTTTTACAGGTCAGTAAAGTAAAGGATAGCTGAAATAAGATCACAAGCACCATTGTTTCACTTAGTGACCATTTTGCCAAATAACTGAGTTGCTGGTCCTAATTGTAGTTGCTAAACGAGGACTAACTGTATAGCAATTTTTCCATATATTGGTCTATTTTTTTTAATTCACTCTGTTCTCTGTGTTTGTCCTCTCTATTAAAAAATAATAGTAAAAATAATTAGGTCTTTGCCTGAATCTGAAAAACCAACATGGTCTACGTATTTTTATCTTCTCAAAACTAGTAGAATTTACTCCTCTGGGTGGAATAACAAAATTGAAAAGACTTCACAAATACTGTACGGAGAGAATACGAGCCTTAGGTTCACCTAGTCTAATATTAATCTTTGATTGCTTTGTCCTTCTGTGGTTTGTGAAGCACAACTGGGAGGGGAACCTAGAAGGTGGAAAAGTAGAATAAAAACGATTTTCTTTTTCTTTAAGAAAGGAGTGAGGTAGAAGATGGTTGACACCCAAGAGAGAAAATTGTGAGGGGATTTAGAACTATTTCTGTTGTAATAATTGTGCTCATCCTATTAAATAAGCACAATTAGTTTCGCCTCTCCGCATTTGGGAAGGGCTAATCCATTTGGGTGCAGGAGACAAGTATTAGCCTACATAATCCATTAATTTACCATCTTCTAGAAGTGGATTGATGGGACGCGGTGGCTTCGGACAGCGCTGGCTCTTCGGCTTTGAAATGGAGATGAGTACCAACCCCTAGAATCGGGAACGACTAGCACGTATGTGTGAGAGGAACCTTTACCTTTAGAAGCGGATTGAGAAAGTCACACAGCCATTAGCCATTATTCCCTCTCGATGATAACAACTGTCTTTATTTTGGGAAGTGACCCAGCCTCTTGTAAGAATGGCAGGCAGCTTGTACGGCTTGAGCTGGTCCAGGCGGGATGAGACCTGAGACACACTTACGTTGAACAGGACCACACACCTATTCAGGAATTGAATTTTACAAGTTTCCATCTACAAAAGGAGGCTTATTTTTAAAGGATGTAATTCAAGGGAAAACGATGCAAGTTTCAAAGGGACCAGACAGTAACAGGAAGGAAATAACCTTTTCCCACAAGCTTTCCCCACCAAAACCATTAAGTATGAACATCCACAGTTAGTTTTCATTGTATTACAGGTAGTCCTTGAGTTACAACCACGCTTGAGCCCAAAAATTTATGTTGCTAAGTGAGGAGTTTGTTAAGTGAATTTTGCCTCACTTTACAACTTTTCTCGCCACAGTTGCTAAGTGAATCATTGCCGTTGTTACATTTAGTAGCAGTTGTTAAGTGAATCTCCCTTCCCCATGGATTTTGTTTGTCAGAAGGGTTGCAAAAAGAGATCCCGTGACCCCAGGAGATTGCAACCGTCATGCCAAGCATCTGAATGTAAGTTACATGATCCTGGGGATGCCGCAATGATCCTAAGTGTAAGAAAAGGTCATAAGTCCCTTTTTTGCAGCGTCGTTGTAACTTTGAATGAACTGTTGTAAGTCAAGGACTTCCTGTATTGTGCAAGAAGACATTTTCATTGCAGATTGGTCCATGTCCAATCTGGGTTTGTCCCGAATTCCTCCCAACTCCCTGTCCCTTCCACAGGCCGCCACCCCCCACCCCACCCCACTTCCCCGAATGTTCTCTGCACTCACGGCAATGATCTCGAGAACTTCGTTCTTGCTGATCTCACCGCTGCGGTCTACATCGAAAAGCGAGAAAGCCCATTCCAGCTTAAGGTCAGTCTTGCCTGAGGAGGTCAGGTGCAGTGCGATGATGTACTCCCGGAAGTCCAGAGTCCCATCATCATTGGTGTCAAAGCTTCGGAAGACATGCCGAGCATAGACCTTGGGGTCAGAGTTGGGGAAGAAAGTGGAGTAGATCTTTTCAAAGTCAGCTTTACCGATGCGCCCATCGGGGCATTGTTTTTTGAAGGCGTCGTACCATTTGACCAGCTCGTCCTCCGAGAACTTTGTGTTCGATTTCAGATCATCAAGGACCTCCTTGGAGATCATCCCGCTCTTCTTATTTCCCATCGTTTGGTTGAATGCTCACCTTCCTAACGAAGCTTCACCAATGCTGCTGGAGCTAGCCTGTTTTTTCTTGCTTCCAGTGAGCTAGTAGAAGGGCAGGTGACCAGAATACCTTCTTATATAGACTGCTTGGGATGGACCTATGACCCTGCTCCTTGCCTCCCCTAATGGTCATGAATGCACCAACGTGGATATCACACATATAAAGGGAGAGACTATTTTGGTTGTGCTGATCACAGTTTCTCCAAGCTCTTTAGCACAAAGGAAATCAGCTTTAGACATCACTGGCCTATCTGCCCTCCGCCCCCTCAATCCTTCTAGCCTCCTTTT